GTGGAGTTTGGAGCAGGGTCCCGGACCTGCAGGAAGCGAGTGAGCAGTTCCCGCTTGGCTTTGGCCGCCTCCTCCTCAGCCAGCGCTTGTCTCTGCAGGAGCAGCAGCTCGTCCTCGGCCGCCCTGGGGGCAGCGGGACGGAGCCCCGCCATGGCTGGAGAAGGGGACACGGCAGGAGGGGTCGGGGGATGCCCGGGGTCTGCCTGGTGGTCCCTCCAGAGCCCCCCCCCCCCCCCCACCCCCCCCCCCCCCCCCCCCCCCCCCCCCCCCCCCACCACCACCCCCCCCCCCCCCCCCCCCCCCCCCCCCCCAAAAAGTGTCCCCATGTGCTGCTCCCCCCAAACTGTCCCCAAAGTCATCCCCAAAAGTTTGTCCCCAACGCGCTGCTGCCCCTGCAACGTCACCAAGGTCACCTCGTGCCCCAGTGTCCCCAGTGTCCCCAAGTACCTCAATGTCCCCAATGTCCCTCAATGTCCCCAAAGCCCCCAAGTCCCCCAATGTCCCCAATGTCCCTCAATGTCCCCAAGTCCCTCAATGTCCCTCAATGTCCCTCAATGTCCCCAAGTCCCTCAATGTCCCCAAGTCCTTCAATGTCCCCAAAGTCCCCAAGTCCCTCAATGTCCCCAAGTCCTTCAATGTCCCCAATGTTCCGAAACTCCCTCATGTCCCCAAAGTCTCCCATGTCCCTGATGTCACCCCACGTCCCCAAGTCCCCCAATGTCCCCGCATGTCCCCAAGTCCCTAATGTCCCCAAAGTCCCTCAGTGTCCCCAATGTCCCCAAGTCCCTCAATGTCCCCAAGTCACTCAATGTCCCTCAATGTCCCCAAGTCCCCCAATGTCCCCAAAGTCCCTCAATGTCCCTCAATGTCCCCAAGTGTCCCCAAAGTCCCCCATGTCCCTGATGTCACCCCACATCCCCAAGTCCCTCAATGTCCCCAATGTCCCCCAATGTCCCCCAATGTCCCCAGTGTCCCCAAGTCCCCCAATGTCCTCAATGTCCCCAATATCCCCAATGTCCTCAATGTCCCCAAGTCCCCCAATGTCCTCAATATCCCCAATATCCCCAATGTCCCAAATGTCCCCAAGTCCCTCAATATCCCCAATGTCCCCAAAGTCCCTCAATGTCCCCAAGTGTCCCCAAAGTCCCCCATGTCCCTGATGTCCCCCGCCCCCCCCAGGCCATCCTGGAGTCCCCGCAGCGGCAGCGCCCCCTGGCGGAGATTTACCACTGGTTCAGCCGCAGGTTCGGCTTCTTCCGGCACAACACCCGCACCTGGAAGGTGGGGACCCCCAAAACAGCCCAGGGACCCCCAAAACAGCCCCGGGACCCCCCAAAACAGCCCCGGGACCCCCAAAACAGCCCCGGGACCCCCCAAAACAGCCCAGGGACCCCCAAAACAGCCCCGGGAACCCCAAAAAACAGCCCCGGGATCCCCAAAACAGCCCCGGGAACCCCAAAAACCCCCCCGGGA